AGAGAACATAAATTAAAATTTTAATTAGGAAGAGAAAATTAGATGAAAAACAAAAATATTAGGAATTCAACTTTTAGAAACATATCTTTAAAAATGTTACGAAATTTCAATATAAGTTATTTTGGTTTATATTATAATTTTGAAGTTATTTTTTATTTATAGTTTAATTTTCATAAAAATAATTAATGTTATTAATATATAGTAATTTTCATGAAGTAAAAATATAAAAAAATAGTTATAATGTGTCGTTTATAGTTAAAAAATAATTTATATAATAAAATTTTTTAAAATATATTAATTTTAACATCTTGATTGGTATTTTTGAATTATTTATCAATGATTATTTAAAAAATTTATCACTTAATATGGCATGATAATGTTAATTTATTTAAAAATTGATATATAGTAATATTGAATTTTAAATGTTAAAAACTATTTATTACTTAAAAATATAAAATCAATCATATGCTGTGATATGATTAATAATAAATTTTTCATGCCTTAATTATTTTAGTCGATTCAAAATAAATTTTATAGATTATAACAAAGTATAAATGTTGAAGTAATTATTATTAAGCTCTTTTCTTGAGTTAGTAAACATGTTTATAATATAAAAGGTAAAATATTTTTTTTTTAAACTTTGTAATTAGTATTTTTGAAATTTATCAACATTTATCTTTAAAAAATAATTTTGAAAATATAACCTAAATGTATTTGTTGTGATATAATTAGTTAAAATTTTAATATACTATAATTATTTTAATGAATTTAAATTAATTTTCATAATAATTATGATAAAGTATAAATATTATAGTAATTATTACGAATATTTTTTTTTTGAGTTATTAAGTATGTTTATAATTCAAAAATTAAAATTTATAGGTTTCTTAAATTTTTTAATCAGCGTTTTGGAGATTTATTAACATTTCTTTTAAAAATTTATTACTTATTATAACTTAAATGTATATGGTCTGATATAATTAGTTAAAAATTTATATGTCATAATTATTTTAATTTTTTTAGTAAGTATAATAAAAAGTATAAATGTTATAGTAATTATTTTTTAGTTATTAATTATATTTATAATATAAAAAGTAAAATTTATATTATTATTAATTTTTAATTAGTCTTTAGTAAATCTTTATTAGAATTAGTCTTATACAGTGCTCTTGAATTATTTATTAACATTAGTGTTAATTATTTTATAATTTCCTAGTTAATAATTTTTTTAATTTTTTTATTGTAACATGTGATGAGATAATTATACCTCCGTTGCTTATTAATAATGTCACCTATACAATATAAAATAGTTTATGACATGTTGATTTTGATCGGTTGTTCAAATTTACAAAATGTAACTAAATAATTCTCTGATTAATGCACTTGTAGAATAGTGGAAGTTTGAAATACATATTTTATTTACTTTGTGAAAAATGCATAATTAAATTAGAAGATATTTTTGTGTTATTTGGACTTCATATCAATGGTGTGCCTCCTAGTGTTATATGTAAAGAGCTATTAGGTAATTGACCTAGATCTAACAATGTTGAAAGATAAAAAAATTAGATTAAAGTGACCAACATAACATCTTGCTTGGCTTCATGCTAATTTGATATCGTGATAACACAATATACTTATTGACATATACTTTATTTGTTGGGACATGTTCTAAAAATAATGAATAAAAGCAATGCAATAGTATATGAAAAATTATTATAGCTGGAGTTTACCATGTCTTGCCTTTCTTTATAGAAAGTTAAATCATAGTTCAATAAAATTTGTGGTTCCCTAATTGTTTGGAGGTAAATGTACCTATCAAAAAGTAATAAAAGATTTTAAGAATAAGTTTTTAAATTATCATCTCATAAGGATTGTTTCAAATTATTAAGAAATTTTTAGTTTAGTTATTTGAGCCTAAAAGATGCGAAATTAAAGAAAAACAAGAATTCCATTATAAAATCAATTATTAATAAAAAAAAGTAACTCAATGCACATTTTGGTTAAACTTGTGAGAGAAGAACCTATGATATATGAGTTTTCTCATTCAATCCTTTATGTTATTTTTTTGTTTAACTCTAAATTTAATTTCCTTGTGATTACCAATCAGTCATACAAATACTATCAATATCCAATAGTCCTCTAATATTAATATTCTTTTATCTAAACTAACATCCACAATGGTCATACAAGATATCAATTCAAGAAAGCATAAAACACTTATGAATTTGTTAATTTAATAATGATTAAAAGAGAAAGATTTGTTTGGTCCACCTAATCCTTTGTTTTGTTTTATCCTATAGATCTATTAATTAATTGATGTACGATCGTCTGATGATATAATTAATTTGAGTTATGTTACGTGTGGTTAATTTATAACGTACAATTATGCACAATAGGATAAACACTAATCATGAACAAAAATCAAACTTAGATTTAAACATCCAAATTCCATAAACTCATGAACAAAAATTCTCATAACCTTAATTATAGATTTAGTTGCTCATGCTAAATGAAAAGACTATAACAATCATAAACAAAGTCATAGAGAAAAGTAAACTAGATTATCCCTAAAGATTGATGATGATAAAAGTTCTCGATCTTCAAATATGATCTCTTGAAACTCTCAGTTCCACCAAAAATGTGTTAGAGATCAAATGAGGAAGGATGTGCAAAGTATGGGATGAAAAGGTATATTCAAATATGTTTCAGCCAATGCCTTCAAGGCTTCTTTAATAGAGTTTAAAAATCCTAAAAATAGAGGATTACCCAGGTATGCATAGGCTCAAAGTACCTTCATGCTTGCTTCTAAGATCTGGGTGTGCTTACTCCTACAAAACTTAATTTTCTAGTCAATTTGGACCTAAAATGTCAAAATATCCAATTGTGGCATTTTTATGCTAAATTGCACAGTATATATATTATGAATTAGTGCAAAACTCAAATAAAATAAAGATAAAACATAAAAATATGGGCTATAAAAGAGAGTCAAAATACAAACTTATCACTAATACTATTATAAGTGTGGGAGTGACACTAGTTCTTATGGTTGGCTCCAATCTTTGCTGAACCAATAATATTTTCACTTGCTTTTAGGGATCTTAGAAATATTATACTGACATTAAATTGAATGAGTATTCATGAGGTCAAGATTAAAATATCCTTAAATTTGTTAAATTTGTCTATATGTTTATATATCTAATATATTTTATTAACTGTAATTTGTGGCACGACCATACGAAGATAATGGTATTGATGCCCTTATTCCAAATGACATTAAAGGTGAACGATTATTGGATCAACTATTAGCTCTTTGATTTGTTTTAAAGTCATAGTTTAACATGTAATTAATCATATAAGATATTAATTTGAGTATATTCAGCATATTCTTCTCACACTCTAAAGTTTGGAGTCTATAATAGAAATAAAAACTTACAGAGATTAAGATAACCAAAGAACTATAGGCTCATACATGATGACTGATTGGCAATGTATAAGCATTAATATCAATGCATTTTAGAAGGAATGCCAATTCACAACTATTATCCTTATGAATATTGAGTATGATACACGTTATATGCAATAAATTGACTACGATTGTCTTCACAAATAGAGTAACGAGCTCCCCAACAACAACAATTTTCTATGGAACTATTTTCTCCTTAGCACGAGAAAAATTCCATGTAGCCACCACTATCTTAGCATAAAAATTTTCCTATTGAGGCACCACCCACCCAACAACAAGATATTCCATCACTTTTAGTACAAGCAAACGAGGAGTTTTATTAGTCATTGCATGAACTAGTGGTAGTCATTTCAATGTGATGAACAATTCTCACAACATGAACAAGCACGAATATATGTTGATAGAAGAAATATTTTCCGTGGTTCAAGAAGTAAGAAATCACAAGATATAAAGTTTTTTTTATTACAATAGAAACAACAATAGGATATCTTGTAGATTACTGTGCACCTATAATTTTATCATTAATGATGCTCAAACTTTTCAAAATAATCTCCAATATAACTCTGACTTAAATAAAGAAGTAAACATGGAAAAAGTGCTCAGTAGAAAGATGTGTATTGACCATAGCTTGTGACACTAAGATTACTTCTCAGTCGATATTTTCAACGAGTAATTAATAATTCGTGTCAATTATATTGTGAGAGATAATACATCATGATAGCATAATTAATAGTTTTGGTCATGGAGTGAAGTCTTGTAAAACATGAGGGTGCAACAGATTAAAAATCTAAAATATTAGGATGTGGTAGATAATGAAGGTAAAGAAAGAAGAAGAAATAAATTTCTTGAATTATGATTTTGATAGCTATAACTCCTCATTAATTAAGAAAAAAATAGATATATTTAAAGGTTTTAATTACATAAAATACTCTTCATAAATATAACTAATAACAATTTTAGTGTAAAAAAATGTTTGTATATATATTAATGTTTTAAAATTGTTCAGTAACGAGTTTTTCTTGTAATTAATTTTTTGACATTAAAAAACGTCATTGGAAATTGTATAAAAATACCTGTTCATGTAATTTTTCTCAAAAGCCACAGACTATATAAATATTTTTAATATCGTGGTATAGGAAAATAGTAAAAGTGGATGCAGTTTGAGAAAGGAAGGAACCATTGTTTTCAGCTTGATAACCACTGCACTGAATATTTAGTATGAGTGGGATAATGGGGTAGAGAGTCTGCGTTTCTGTTTTGCCACGCAAACCATTCGTTAAAAGCTTCACGCGGAGCCCGTGCATCGATTCAGCCACCCCGCTCTTCAGTCACATCCTTCCATCTTGTGTAAATGGTGGTGGTCCTTCCGCACTTCATATCCGTATCCCAGCCACCAGAAACCAAAACTTGGATACTGATTGCACTGTGCTGAAAGACAAAGTTGTCGCCAGCTCCGACCCCACATGCTCTTCGCAGCCCACACCCACAAAACCAAAAAAATATAAATAAATAAAAAAATAGAAAGAAAACTAGAAAAGATTCCACGCTTACGACCATCGTTTTTCTTTTCCCTGTCTTTTTCGTTTTTTCTTTCTTTCTTTGCTTTCCTCAGTACACAGTACACACACTGCTTCCGATTGTTGATTCTCCGTGATTTTCTCTCTCTCATCTTCCTATTTCACCTTCTGTTTTATTTTCACTAGTTTGAAATTTGAACGTCTCAGGGTCACTGATGCATGCTGCATTCTCGAGAAAAAATATCACCCTCCCTTACCTTTCTTCTTCAGAGTTAAAATTAGGTTTCCTTTTTCTTTCTTCTCTGTCTCTATTAGTCTGCAAGGCATCTTTATTCTTTCTAGAGAAAATTCAAAAAAAAAATTATTATATAAATGTCATTCGTTCCTTTCCTTTATTTTGAAAATTCAATTTCTGTTGTTTTGGTGCGAAGCTTGAGCTTAGCTTTCACCTTTTGATACTTTTATACTTCAATGTTGGCTCGCCGTGGAAACTAGAGCAACCATGTCACCGGCGAGGACAATGACGGTGGCCGCCGAAGATGACTACGAGGAGGTCGAGTACTCATTTGCCGTGGAGTACAACGGACCGCCACCGTGCTACGATCTTCCCCGTGCGGTGCCGATCAGCGTCGACGTGATTCCGGTGGCGGCGGCGGTCGCGCATGTTCCTTTCTCCGACGCTATGTCTTTGCCGGTTGTGCAACCGCTCTCGGCGCCGGAGCTTCCCGGTGCGAAATTCTCCAAGGATCTCGAAACGCCGATTCCCGAGGTCGCGGTTTCTCCCACTTCGGTGATTGCCTTTGACCGGAGCAACGACGGCGGCGGTTCCGGTAGAACAACGGTGTCTCGGACGTCGGTGATCGTGTTCGAAGACGAGGCTGCGGAAACAAACGAACCGTGTGAGTTGAGCAGAGAAAATTCGTGCGAGTTTTCAGAGCTTTTAGGGAGAAGAAGCTCGAGCGCGTTGTTGAGGAACTCGAACGGCGAGAAAGAGAGTTTGAGTTTGGATTTCAACGATTCGAGCCAACGAGATTGGGCTTCCACGTTGAGTTCAGATTATCCATCGTCTCGTGTTTCTCCATTGAAAAACAAGGAACCTGATCCTGAACCAGAACCTGATGTTAAACATATAGTGACTTTCGAGGTGGATTCGGATGAGGAAGAACGCGAAGTGAAAGAGAGGGTTAAGAGAGAGGGTATGAGGAAAGGGAAAAAAGGGTCGTGCTATCGTTGCTTAAAGGGGAATTGGTTCAATGAGAAGGAAGCATGTCTTGTTTGTGATGCCAAGTATTGTTTGAATTGTGTGTTGAGAGCAATGGGTTCCATGCCGGAAGGTCGCAAATGCGTTGGTTGCATTGGGTATCCAATTGATGAATCTAAGAGGGGGAGTTTGGGGAAATGCTCTCGTATGCTGAAGAGATTGCTTAATCATTTGGAGGTTCGACAAGTAATGAAGGCGGAGAGGTTTTGTGAAGTGAATCAGCTTCCACCTGAGTATGTTTGTGTGAATGGGAACCCTCTTTCTTTTGAGGAACTCTTGGCTTTGCAGAATTGTTCTAACCCTCCGAAGAATCTGAAGCCGGGGAACTATTGGTACGACAAGGTGTCTGGGTTTTGGGGGAAGGTATGTTCCTTTTTTTTTTTTTAATAATTTTCTCCGTGAATTTTTTAAAGGGTTTAACTTCAACCTTAATGTCTGTATTTTTTAAATAATAATTTTTGGTATTTCTATTATGCTGATTTTTGTTGTGAATTTCACAGGAAGGACAAAAGCCTTGTAGGATTATTAGTCCCCATTTGAATGTTGGAGGTCCCATCAAGCCGGACGCTAGCAATGGAAACACGCAGGTTTTCATTAATGGCCGGGAAATAACAAAAGTTGAACTTCGGATGTTGCAGGTTGAAATTTTAATATATTAAAACAAATGAAAGATTTTATGCTAGTTAATAAATAATTTTTGTTGTTAAAAATAATAAAAGTTGTTGAAAGGATCTTGTTTTGGTTGGGCAGTTGGCGGGAGTTCAGTGTGCTGGTAACCCACATTTTTGGGTCAATGAGGATGGTTCTTATCAAGAAGAAGGACAAAAAAATACAAAAGGGTGTATATGGGGAAAGGTATTATTTTCTTCCTGTTTTTGGTTTATTTGTATCTTATTTTATTTATTGGGCGACAATGTTCATTTGCATTATTACACTTTTATTTCGCTTGTTAGGCTGGAACGAAGCTTGTGTGTGCTTTGCTGTCCCTGCCCGTTCCTTCTAAATCTTCAAATTCGTGTGGGTTTCTGTCCTCCAATCTGGTTACTAGAACAGTTCCTGAGCACTTCGAACATGGAATAGTTCATAAGCTCCTCTTACTTGGTTATAGTGGGTCTGGAACAAGCACTATTTTTAAGCAGGTTATTTATCATTTCACAATTGAGTTTGACAATTTTTATGCTGCTACACACATCGCAAAAATAATTCCACCCCCCCGCCCAAACAAAATGGAAATATATAATTGGGCTGCTTTCAGTAGTTTGCTACTTCGGTCTGTTATTTGTCAACATGAATGTTGTTGCTAAAAACCAATTTTTATTTATTGAGTTGTAAATGCTTATCACAGACCAAGATTCTTTACAAAAGCACTCCCTTCTCAGAAGATGAACGGGAAAATATAAAGTTTACCATTCAGACCAATGTCTATGCGTATCTTGGCATACTCCTTGAGGGCCGTGAGCGTTTTGAAGAAGAAAGCCTGGGAAATTTAAAGAAAAGTCAATCTTCTGTGCTTGACACTACAGGTATGAGTTCTATTTTCTGCCTCCTTTCCACTGCTCCTCTGAAATGTGTTCATTTCTAATGACTTTCGCATCAGTAGCCAAGCTTTCTTCCTTTTAAAGCATCACAATGTTAGGCATCAACTGTGCACCAGCTAGTTGTTGGTCCAAAAGGTATTCCATGAGCTTATACATGCGCTTGTGCATCATTATGTTTCATACTTCATATGTTTTAGTTTTAAAGTCTCTTCCCCTAACTCATTCATACATCATTTATGTTCACAAGGACGAAAGTGTTTGTTCTTGTAGACTTAAAATACTTTGATACATATTCGACCAAAGGATCACAAATGTTGATAAGCAACTAAATGATAGGGACTGAAATAATAAATGACTACAAATTCCTGTATACTAATAGATTTGACATTTATCTTACCCATTTGAATTAAAGATTTGCTGGTATCATTATGATTCAGGAACCAGTCCAAAACTTGGTGACAAGACAATTTATTCCATTGGCACAAGACTGAAAGCATTCTCTGATTGGCTACTGAAAACTATGGTTTTGGGCAAGCTTGATGCCATCTTTCCAGCCGCTACTCGTGAATATGCTCCATTGATTGAGGAGTTATGGAATGATGCAGCCATTAAAGCCACCTATGAAAGAAGAAACGAAATAGAATTGTTACCCAGTGTTGCCAGTTATTTCTTAGAGCGGGTATGGGATCAGTCTTTTGTTTTGATTTATTTTTATCAACAGTTTAATCCGTGCATGCAGGTTTGTATTGCATAAGATCTTTGGACTGAACATTCGTTAACATGCTTGCATATAATAAAAGAAAATATTAAGAGCAGGTTTATCTTCCCCAGTGCTGGGAGAAATGAGGATATATGATTAGTTTTTTTTATTATTATTATTGAAGATAATGGGATCCTCCATTAAGTAGTATAAATAAATCTTTATTTAAATTCATGATATATGAAATACACGAATTAGAAGTTTGATATATTTAATGTAAATGAGTTTTTTTTACTCTCTTAGCTTGTTTGTTTGGCCAGACTTCAATTTGATTTTTAGGCTTCTGGTTAATGTTAACTATTCTATCTGTTAACTAACCAAACTCAGCCTGCTTTACATCCATCTGTTGAGCATTATAATGCTTCATTGGCAATTTTTTTTTTTTTGGTGCAAAATTTGCACTATGGAAACATGTTCTTCATGCTTCTCTTCTATTTGTTTCCTCTTGAAAACAGATTGTTGGGTTAGTGGTTTGAGAATCTAACAATTCAATCCTGTGATTAGGCTGTTGAGATATTGAGGACTGATTATGAACCCTCGGATTTAGATATCCTCTATGCTGAAGGAGTTACATCATCCAATGGGATGGCTAGTGTAGAGTTTTCATTTCCTCAATCAGCACCTGAAGAAACTGTTGACACTGCCGACATACATGATTCTTTGGTTAGGTAGGTGAAAATATTTGCACCTATTGTTCCATGTGAGAAATATTCTGGGTAACCCTGATTGATTAAATTAATGTATAATTATTGTTGCACTTGGGAAAATAATTACTTTGTGGATAATGGCATGGTTGTAAGGCAAGTACACCACAACCTGGAAGAAAACCAACACAAGGACTAAACAGAGAATAAGTACGGTACCTTCTTTAGGGATTGTAATAAGGTGCCTCCGTAGTTGGTTAAAGTTTATTTCCTCCAGATGTTATATATACAAAGATAGAGAGGATAAGACATCCTCACCAAAAAACAAAAACAAAAGAAACATCTAGAAACTCAGACATGGAGTAATAATGTAATGAAGCATGCCAATCTCTTTGCATGTCTAATCTAACACAAACAACTCTAAACAGTTAATGAGCAGAACACCACGTACAAGCCAAGAAAGTAACTCTATCCCAAATGTTGTCCAGGGATGGCAAAGTGACCTTGAAATTTCTAGCATCCTTTCCAGCCAAACACATCAAAACAGCAAAAACACTGCAATAGAATTTTAGCTTCTCACAAAAGCCGAAAACCTATATATTTAATTTGGAGAAACTGATCCAAGTTCTTAGAGCACACCCAATTCTTATTAAAAATTATTTTCTCTGTTCTGGCCGTATAGATGTTTAGCAAACATAGGGTTCGGGTTCCTTCAACTGGCACGGATGTGATTTAGCAGTCATATCCACTGTAAATACATAACTTTTGCGTTCTTTGCAGATAATTCTTTCTAATTAAGACAATCTGATGGATAAGATATATGGTGTAAAATTAGGAGTGAAAGAGATGGATGGACATTGCTAAGACTATTGCACATTTGAGTCTCTGCATTCCCTTGACCAGCTTTGGCTTTTACATCATGTGAAGTTTTAGATTCATTTTTATGGTCATCAGGGGTGGTACCAAAATGCAATTTTAATCAGGTTTACTGTGTAAAAGATTACATCTGTTTCGTGTAACATAAATGTATTATCAAATTCCCACGTTTGTTTAAAAAATGCTTGCAATGCTTATTTCCAAATGCAAATCTCGACAACGTAGAAACGTGTGATGCTGTTGCCGATTTTCGTATATATGATTGGGATATTGAGTCAAACCAGAAAATGTACAAACTTAGAAACCGACCAGTGTTTAAATACAATCTTTTTTGGGGGGTGGCGGATCGATTACCTGAGCTGCTATAAAATGTTGCTGATTTATACCCTGCTCTGTTCTCCTTGGTTACAGGTATCAACTAATTACAGTACATGCAAGAGGGCTAGGAGAAAATTGCAAGTGGCTAGAAATGTTTGAGGATGTTGGATTGGTTATTTTGTGTGTTGCCTTGAGCGACTATGATCAGTTTTCAGTTGACGGAAATGGTTGTCTCACAAACAAGATGATATTGAGCAGGAAGTTTTTTGAAGCCATTGTTACTCATCCTACTTTTGAGCATATGGACTTCCTTTTGATATTAAACAAATTAGATGAGTTTGAGAAGAAAATAGAACAAGTTCCACTAACTCAGTGTGACTGGTTCTCTGATTTTCATCCAGTAATTAGCCAACATCGCTGCAGCAGCAGCAACATTAACAGCATTAATAATAACGCCTCTCTTGGTCAGCTGGCTTCCCATTACATAGCAGTTAAGTTTAAGAGGCTTTATTCATCTCTTACAGGGCGAAACTTGCATGTGTCCCTGGTGAAGGGGCTAGAGCCTGATAGTGTTGATGCAGCACTTAAATATGCAAGGGAGATTTTGAAGTGGAGCGAAGAGAGACCAAACTTTAGCTTGAGTGATAATTCGATGTATAGCATTGAGGCGAGTTCATTCTCTCCTTGATTATTGCTGGTTCAGACAAGGGTGCTAGTTAAGTCATATCATCTATGACTTGGATTCAGTTCATGTACATACATTGCTGACTAGGAGCTAGGGCACGAAACGGGCTATCGAGTTGTAATTTGCACTACAGCTGTAGGCTAGTAGGCTAGTAGGCTTCCGCTGCTAGGGTATGTTGTGTGTTCGCACGTGCCGCATAGATCAAGATGTAATGGTCAAATTCATTTTTTCATATGGTAAAGTAATATGTTGAAGCTTGTATTTCTCGTAGGATCCTGAAATTCTTTGTCTATCTTTTTTTTTTTTACCTCTCTTACATTCTTATTTTTTTTAGTCACATCCCTCTTTATATCCTTTTTGTTTTCACTCTAATTTCTCTCATTTTTTAAAAGGTGTATAAGCTTCATTCTAGTGTGAAAACATCATTTTTAATTTCTTGTCTTTCAGGCCTTCAACTTCTAGTAGGTTGCGAACCGGCTTTTAACGATACCTAATAATGAATTAAGTGTTCTAAAGTGGCTCAAATCCAATTATCTGTAAACTGAAATATTTACGGCTTTTTAAAAAAACTGTTTTCTTAGCTTTTGCAAAGCTTATATTTAAATTTGAACATGACACTATGTCGAAAGAACATGAAAAATTGGTTGCCAATCAGCATTGCTGAAACAATAGATCAAAAAACATTTTATTATTTCTACTATAAATAAAATTAAATATATTTCTATTATATGTATTTGGGAGAAGAAAACCTTTTCTAAGTTATGAAATATTGTCAATTGAGTTTGTAATAGATGAATGAATTATACTTTGTTGAAGTTCATCTTGAAGATTGGTTTAAGAATATATATTTTAACTGAAATTCTAGTAATTTAAGTTTCAACTAAGAAGAAAAATCTCGAAACTTAAGTTGTATCAAAAGGATTATACTTTTACATATTTTCATGAAAATGGATAGAAAAGAAAGCTTCATTTTAAGACAAAATGAGGATAACATATTTAAGAGGTTTTAAGACTTTTATGAATCTAAAATTAGAATAACTCAAATTAGTTGAAAGACGATACTTTGAGATATTTATTGATTAGAATTGTTAAAATGACTAAAGTGATTTTTTTACAAATTCAAGCAACAAAAAGATATACAAAAGGTAAATAAATGTGTCGAAAAGTAGTAAGTTTTAGAACAGTTGGCAAAAGTTACTAACAGTTATCACCGGTTGAAAAGCAGTTAGCAAAGGTTACTAACAGTTATCACGGTTGAAAAACAAGATGTGTGGAGCATATCTATGCAACAAAGTAGGAGCAGTTATAAAAAAATATGTGAAAAGCAGTTGCGAAAGACACTCCATAAGAAGAAAAGCATTAAGTCTAATTTATGTATAAATAAGACTAAATCTTATATTTTAGGGGACGACTTTTGCAATAGACACTAGCACTCAAATTCAGTCCATACCAAAGTTTTACATTAAGTTAGGCCCAGTTACCAGAAGATTCAACAGTTCTCAATGTTCGTCATGAAAGTTATATGTTTACAATTCCACAATTTGCTTTAATTCAAGTTTGTTTATGTAATTCCTTACATTTATTTTAATATTATTTCATTGTATTTCTAATCTCTTTTCATTTTTGTTTTACGATATTGACTTAATTGTTACAATAAAAAACACATTAAAAAAAATCAAAGAAGATATAAAATTCAATCTTTAAATTGTTTATGAATTTATTTATTTGCATATTACAAATTTCACCATTATATGCACAATACTACTTATTGACATGATAAAGATCCTTTCAAACATGTAAATTATTTTTTATAATTAATTTTAAAAAATATTCCTTTTTGTCAAACAGCCAATATTAACCATATTAAAATTTTTTTTTAGTTGACATGTTCGTACTAATTATCATCTTATCTTCTACAGTTTTTTTTTTGGTCTTTAAGAACTTATGCAAAAAATAATGAAAACATTGTAGTTTAAAGTGTATTTGATTGTTTAGTTTTATTTCAATTAATATGTTTTCTTTTTAGAAGAACAGCATGTTTCAATAATAAAGTTTAAAAAATGGGATATTCGACTAAAATCGGGTTAGTTTACAATGGGCAGTTTTGTCAGATTGAGTAAAAATTTACCTTATCTCTAGACGTTAAATGAAAGTCTAAGGGATATTTGTTTTTCCTTTTAAAATTAGATTAGTCCACAAATTTTTATTATATTATATTTTTAAAAATAGAAAACTATTTTTAAAAGAAAAATAAACATTCTTTTAATTTGACTTGAATTTACAATTTGCACTTAAATAAATCCACCACACCAAAATTCATAAAAATGTTTTGAAATTTAAAATTAAATCAGATTTGAAATTTAAAGCTCAAGTACTTAGCAGGTTTAAATGAATTGAATTAAAATGTACATACCCAGCTAAAGTAACTCGGTGGCAGACAAACGTGGAATAACTTCAGACAAAATTAACCTTTCAGCTTTAGATTATAATTCTTAGTTTCGTTTCTTTCTGTCCAAAAGAAAAAGTATGTGCTACCATAGGGTTTTAGAAAAAAATTTAAGAAAAGAGATTTATAAACTTAAAGAAGTATTAAAAGAAAAAATGAACAAGATAAACGGACAAAAAAATGAATAAAGAGCATTATTTTTTTGAAAAAAAAATTTATTTATAATTAAAATTGTTAATATAGATAAACTTCACATTTGTTATGTAAATACAAAATAAAAATAATTTTAGTTAGGTAAGAGCGATATTTTTTATGTTTTAATTAAAATATATTATTCTACGAGACAAGTAAACATTCCTTCTTTTTAAGTGGCTAATACATTTATTTTGCTTTATATTGTTGGAGATGATACTTTGATCTTTGTAGAAAGTAACACACTCTTATTAGCTTTGAAAGTCTTGAGGTTTGTGTCTTTGACATACACCATTGATCATGTCTTACTTTTTTTAGATTTACATTGTTGTCCACATAGCCTTTTTGTTACTAAGGAGTTCATGCACTTTGTATTTTTTATTACTTTTTGTTTACGCTCTATGCTTTTGTCTTGAAATGAGGCTCTAATAATTATTTTGTGATTGAGTTGGATCTTAATTTTGATCAAAAAAACTATTTAGATTGTCATTTCAAACAAATAATATCTTCAATAATATACAAATTCACTTTTCTAGACCTTCATAGTAAGGTAGAAATCTTTTTAGTAATTTTTAATTATTAAAAAGATTTATAAATATAAAAAGTATGAAAATTTAAAATTTATATTATTAAAAAAAATTCTGCCTTGCATAAATTTGCTCGTAAATACTCACATTAGTTGTCATATGAAACTAACAAAATAAGTTATTTGAGGCAATTCATTACAAGTACTGTGTTTAGGTAAATTTAAAGAAAAAGTAAACTTATAAAAATGATAATTGAAATGAGTAAAGCTTAATTTTTTTATAAACTTAATTTACATTAAGCTCTATCATATGAATAAACTTATTTAATTTTACTTTTATCATACTTCTTTCAATCAATCTATAATTAATATACCTTGTTATAAACTCAAGTGCATTAAAGTTATGTTGATAATTTTATGATTCTACTCTTGAGCTAAGTTATGTTCGATTATCTTTTAGCATAATCAACAAGATATAACAGTAAATTTAATAGTATTATGTTTAACTTAAACTTGTAGTTTTTTAATTTAATTTCTCTTTTAGTTTCACTTTTGCTTTGTGCCTACTTGTGAATTGCAAAAGTACACCACTCTTATTCTTTTTTTAATCTTTTAAATGTTCTAAATTTAAATAATAATAAAAATAAATAAAAGTATAGAATAAATGTAAGGTAATCATACAATTATTGTATTTTTTAAGTAAAAAAAATACAAATAAGATAAAATAAAATAAATCATATTTTTATGTAAAAATGGCGACGAAGCTAATGAGTAAAACCAAAACAAAGGATAAAAATGTTAGATATTAACTTACTATAACGCATAAAAAATATTAATTTTAAATTTGATCAAAAGTGTATAAATATACAACACATGTCATTGTTTATTGAATGATATTATACTTGTTAAATATTTAACAAATCTCAATTTTAAAAATAACTATGATTCAAGCTAACATAAGTTAGCAAGTAAATAATGCATGAGTGAGTCAGTCTTTTAAAACTGTTTTATGTACTTTTTACAAAAATATACTATTCAAATTTGTTATATGTAACTTAATAATATCAATTTTCAAGTATTCATGATTTAATCTTCTTTAAAAATTTGTAAAATTGCTCTTTAAACCTTTAAAATTTGTTATTTTATATCTTTATATAACTATATTGGTAGCCATTTTTATCTTTTCCAAACAAATCTTATATATATCTCATATTTAAATGGTGATTTTAAGAAAGTTTGTATTCATATGCATTTATACAATTTCAATTTATATTTAAAAATAACATTTGAATTAATAGAACATTGAATGTCATTTTAGTTTTTCAGGGACTTGCAAACTTTATTTATAAAGTTAATGATTTTCATAATTAAAACTTTTACAATCATTCTCAAAATCTCAATTCATTATAAAATTAATTTTGTTATTAATAAATTGTTCAATGTTATTTTAGATATTCTCCATGCTCTCCTTACACACTGGTCATATTACTTTGCTTAATTTTTGTAATTTTTACTTAAGTTATATATTACTCGCTTAAGTAAAAGTTACAAGGAAAAAAATGGCCCAGTAGATGAATTTCACTTAAGCAATTATTAATTAACTTAAGTCACGCAAGATATTTTAATATTTGCTTAAGCCAATAAAGTCTAACTTAAATGAAAATTAATAATCATATTTTTACTTAGCCTAAATTATTATAGCTTAAACGAAATTGGCTTGACTTAAACTAATAATAATGACTTAAGTATATATTAACGAAATTTATATATTTATTATTGTATAAAATTAATTTAAACGAATGTGATATAACTTAAAGTAAAATCATAAAAAATGATTTTTATGTGATTTTTAGGATGTTTACAAATTTAATTGATTCCATCGCATGACAATGCAATGAGATTGTTAAATTGAAAAATATATTTACACGCTATTTGGGAAGGAAGAATTAATGTAGAACAAGAAGAATTATAAAAAAAATTTATAATACTTTAAAAAAAAAAATTACAAAATCATCTTTTGTCTTAAATATCTCTCTCATACTTTTATTACTTAAATTCTATTATAATCTATCTAAAAAATTGTTAAAAACATAAAAAAATATATCTGAACTAACTTAAAAAATAAAGAAGGAAAGAAGTAAGTTTAAGAGAATAAAGTTAATTTCTATGTGAAATTTTTTTTATTTTCTTAATTGTTACAATTGCATTTTATATATATTTTCTTTTAAAAAATATTTTTAATAAATTTATTTTAAATATTTAACATTTAAAATTCTTAACTTACAAAAGTTATTAAAATTAAATTAAAAATATTTTAACTTTTTAAGATATGTTATAACATATAATCTTATTAACGAGTTATATGATATAAATTATTTTTCTCAATATTACTTCGACGTCTTCTTTTAACATGCCTATTTTGGTTAATAATTTTAAAATAACGTTATTATAATTAATTTTTAAAATTAGATTTATTGCGGTAAGAGAGCCAAAAGCCCATAAGAAAAAGTGCTTGGCAACCGACATAGGGGTTTATGTTATGGTTATGGGGGGAGCTAAAACCCTTTCCCTCCTTACCGAAACCCCAACGATGCGCCATTGGTTTCGTTTCGCTGGCCTCGCCCGGCGCCTCGACCGCCACTACAAGGCGGCGAGGGCGCCATCTCCGGCAAACCCTCCAAAGGCTCCAAAGAAACCACAGAAATTCAGCTTCCACGGAATAACATGGGAGGATCCATACAGTTGGATGTCTCAGATTAACGACAAGGTAGCGATGCGTCACATGGACGTGTACATGGAGCAAGAGGAGAAGTACACTGAGGCCATCATGTCCGATTCGGAGCGCCTCCTCAACAAGCTTCACTTGGAAATGGCCTCTCGCACGCCCTTCGACCTTTCCACCCCTCCCCTTCGCTGGGGCCCTTGGCTCTATTACCGTCGCGTCGAAGAGGGGAAACCTTACCCTGTGCTTTGCCGAAGATTGTCGAGCTTGAACGACGATTTCGTTTCTCATAAGTATCCTCCTGCTGGATTCGATTTTACCACGGGCAAGACCATTGAGCAGAAGCTCGTGGACTATAATCTAGAAGCTGAGAGGTTTGGAGGTATGTTATGGAATCTCATTGTATGCTTGAATTGATGGAATTGAATGATTTTAGTTGATGCTGTTTGGATTGTTTAAAGAGGAATGCTACTACACTTCATGTGATTCGTTAGCTTTTTAAAACGTTGGTTAAAAGTGATCAATTTATGAGATAACTGCTTTGACTTTTTAGAAACTGACCAACTACAAGGAGTGTGTTCAAAAGAGCATGTTGTTTAGAATTTCCGTTGTTTAAAATGGTGGAATGGAATGAGTTTCATTGCATTTCTCCAATACTTTTCTTTTTCCTTTCTTTTCGATTTGTGAGTATGATATGGAATCGGTATTTTGTTTTTATAGTTGTAGAGTTCTCTAAATGAACCTGCTTATAGTGCACCAAATTCACTGTACCAGGTACTGTGTATCGGGTTATCTTTAAAGGAAATCTTTCAATAATAATGTAAAAAGTGATGAACTGCATACCTACACAAACTGCTTACCTGTTCCGTATATGTGGTTTCTCTGTTTTTTCCTTCCTGTTAAACTAAGCAACGCAATCGTAGCTTTATTTCTTTCTACTCCATTCCATTCTATTCCTTTTCATTCCATTCCGGTCATTATAAGATGTCTAGAGTTTTAAATGTTTTGGTTACATGTGTTCTTAATATTATCATTGATTGGTTGGTTGTAGTAAATGAGTAAAATGATATCGAAGAGGTTGAAGTTAGATGCTAGTAAAATGGAGAAACAGGGAGGTGTTTGGGTATTCTAATGATTTTTTTATCTAACTTTTTATAGGCTATGCTTATGAGGAGCTGTCTGAGGTTTCACCGAATCATCAGTTTCTTGCATACACAATGTATGATAAAGACAATGACTACTTTAAGTTATCTGTTAGAAATTTGAATTCAGGTTCGTTGTGTAGTAAGCCACAGGCAGATCGAGTTTCAAACTTGGCATGGTTGAAAGATGGGCAGGCTCTGCTTTATGTTGTTACAGATCAGAAAATGCGGCCTTACCGGTAGGTAAATTGTTATTGATTTATTGGTGCCTTGGTGCTTCTATATAATTGAAAGAAGCCTTTAAATTGCTTTTTGCTTATGATTATTAGCACTGAAGTACATATAACGTTCCTCAATCTCATTCTTCCACTTATTGCTGCAGTATCTACTACAGTCTGATTGGATCAACTGATCAAGATGTTTTACTTTTGGAGGAATCAGATGAAAATGTTCACGTTAATATTAGGCACACAAAAGACTTTCACTTTGTGACTGTAAATACATTTTCTACCACATCGTCAAAGGTAAAAGATCTATAGTTTAAAACTCAGTCAAATTAAGATTCTTCATATTGTATAAGTGTCATAACCATCTCTTAGGTCTTTCTAATAAATGCAGCTGATCCATTGTCTGGCTTGAAACTAGTTTGGGAGTGTGATGCTCTGTCTCACTGCATAATTGAACATCACCAAGGTTACCTTTATTTATTTACAGATGCTCCCAAAGCAGGGAAATCAGTTGATTATCATTATCTTCTTTGTAGTCCAGTGGATACTCCTTCAAGTCCAAGAAAATGGGAGGTAGTTTGGAGCATCGCTATTCCCCTCCTATAATTGGCTTGTTTCATTTTAGTCCTCTTGTATATCTCACAAAAAGATGCGTTTATCTGAGACTCTGAGATATGTTGTTTTTTATATATCTCTTTGATTTTATTCCTCTTATATATTGCCCGACTGCAGGAGGTATTTGTCAATGATCCAGATTTAATTGTTGAGGATATTGATTTTAGTGATAAATACTTGGCACTGATTGTGAGGGAAGGTAAAAAATTTCAACTTTGTTCAGTTGGACTACCATTGCCCTTTGGGAAGGTAATGAAAGAGAATTTGTGATATCATTCTATCACTAATAAACTCTTGATGTAATTATAGTTTATCATCTTATGGAATTATTGCTGTAGACCATCTTATTTTTGTGATAGGGGGCAGTTAAACTGAGGAAGCTGTACCTACAGTTCTTGTCACTTCCGCAACATGTTTGCCAAATTTCGCCTGGACCAAACTATGACTTCTTCTCCTCGGTCATGCGCTTTATAATATCATCACCTGTGGTATGTGAACGATTGATTCCCCTTTGTTTTTTGTTAATTTCTGAAGATGGCTTCTCTTCATGTTTCTGTCAACATTTGTTTACCTTCATATTGTATCATCTATGAATGACCATTCACTGGCCTGGTTAAATGTGGATCCAAGGAAATTTAGAGAAGATGGAAAGGAAACAGTGTTTTGCAAAAAAAAAATTGTTTTCGATGATTTGTTTGATATAACTAAAGCTGCAAGATGGAATTCAAATAGAATTTTAGTGAATATTTTGCTATAACGAATCATGATGATCTTTATCTTTAGTTCCAGACCAATTTGAGTTTCCATTAAATACTTTATAATGTATTTTGCCAGTATGCCTGGTATAATTGATTTTGGCTTTCCAAATTCTCTTTTTGTTACTTTCCTCCTTGTTAGGTTTTTCTTGCTTAATATTCCAATTTGTTGTATGTTCACTATTGACACACACCTGGGGTCTTGGGAGGTCATTTTTGTTCAGTCTTATAGCAATGGTAGGTTAGGAGTGTAGTGCAATGCAGTACGAAGCACATTTGCATCTCAACCTGGATGAATGAACTGGTCATCAAATTCTGATATGTTCACCATGAGATTCTTGCAGATGCCTGATGCTGTCGTTGATTATGACCTGGCCACAGGTAGGTGGAGCATCATCCAACAGCAAAATATACTTCATGACAGAACAAGAATACTATATGGTAAAAATTCTGCAAGTATTAGCGTGGACTCCTCAAATTCCAAACACTCTAGTACTGTGAATGCCAACTTGGAAGATGATCACTTATGGAATGACCTGTCTGAGTTTTATGCCTGTGAACAATATGAGGTTCCTTCAGTTGATGGAGTTTTGATTCCTTTGACTATTGTTTTTGCACGTAACCATAAGCCAGAGGATAAAAACCCTGGAATATTGCATGGACATGGAGCTTATGGTGAATTACTTGACAAAAGGTGGCACAGTGAAATGAAAAGCCTCCTAGATCGAGGTTGGGTTGTTGCCTACGCTGATGTAAGGTAGGCTTGTCATTATTAAGCAGCCATGTACCCAACCTAATGCATAGTCATATGGATATTCTTCTGTTGCATTTATAAATATGATTTATTATATATTTCTAAGTTATTGAAAATTGTCCAAACAAATTTATTTTCTCTGTAGTCTTATCTCTTACATATGATAGTTTGGGGGGCTTGTTTCAGAGGTGGAGGTGGTTTTGGAAAGAAATGGCATCACGATGGGAGATGTACCAAGAAAAATAATTCTATCAATGATTATATCTCTTGTGCCAAGTTCCTCATTGAAAAAGATATTGTGCATGAAAACAAATTGGCTGGTTGGGGATATAGTGCCGGAGGACTTTTGGTTGCTTCTGCCATTAATCGTTCTCCAGATTTATTTCGTGCTGCAGTCTTGAAGGTGTTGAAGTCTTTAAGAATGCTTGCTTGCTTTTGGGTTTTATTTTGCTTAGGCTTCATTAAATGTGTTTTCTTAAATATACAATTACTATTTTGTATGATTTCTGCTGTAGGTTCCATTTTTAGATGCCACCAATACTCTTTTGTATCCCATCTTGCCACTTTTAGCTGTTGATTATGAAGAGTTTGGCTACCCTGGGGACCTTGATGATTTTATTGCAATTCGAGAATATTCTCCATATGACAATATACAAAAGGATGTTCTTTATCCAGCTGTATTAGTAACCTCATCTTTCAATACACGGTAAGTCACTGATGTCCTTGTTTATCTTCCTGCCATGGTATCCATGGTTTCTTTGTGGTTAATTTGTGTAGTAGTAGTAAGAATGAAGGCACTTATGATAAAAGTGGCAACCAAAATATGGACGCTTCAAAATGGCTGCTGAACAGGTTTTGGAACTTGGATGCATGTGTGTTAGATACTTCCCTCAGACAATATTATATTTCTATTCTTTGAATTTCTATGCCAATCTGAGTGCGATATGTTCAGAACTGGACAAGTTTCAGTCTTTTATTTTGTCTACATTACAATGATTAATGATGACTCTTGAAACATTGATATCTGTTGTATTTGTTTTCAGATTTGTGCTAAGACTGATTCTGTAGTGTTGCATACGTTTTAAACACCAAGTGCTTATGTTAGGAGTTACATTCATATAAAAAATATATCTTTAGAATTTGTTTCTATGTTTGCATTAAATTGTATTTTAAATCATAACTGTATTATGTCCTAATATTTTAGAATTTTCTGATTGCTGTATCTTAATTCTAATTCTTAATATCCATGCTTCCCACCTAGGTGGCATTGGCAACAAAGTTACTTAATTATTTTCCTTATTTCATAGCTTCCTTCTGCCTAGAATTTAATCATGCTTGTTTAAAAATGAATTAATTTAGGAATCAGTGCTCATTTTTAAGATTTCTGTGTGGGTTTGTATTATCAAATGCAAAGTTTCCTTTCTTTTTCTGAATACCTGATTTATTGCCTGTGGATTTGTTGTCATTTATTCATATGGAAAATGCTGTATGAATCAAGAACATTGTGCTTTCTGGTTGCTAGTATGTGGATATGTATTGTCCTATGAAGCATGGCACCTCTCTTGTTTGAAGTGTTGCAGTGTGGGACATGGTTCGGACACTCCTAATTAGGTGTTCAATTAAAATTTGTTTTTGAGCTCAGACACTTGAGCTTACACTTCAATATAGGTGACTTTATTTTGTTTTGAGATCTTTTTGTAAAGAGACTAAATACTTACACTGTAAAATAATATCACTTAATAGTTTTTTGAACATACATATATATGTGTGTGTGTGTATGTATATATGTATGTATGTGTGTGTATGCAGCATCCTATATTTTAGAAGTTAGTCATGTTGGAGTGTTCGAATCATGTCTGTCAGAGTCTGTGCGTTTCATAGGTATTGTCAGCTATAAACAAAATGGGCTGGTCCAAATATACCTGTCAAAATGTAGGACTTGGAACATTAAATTGAAGGCTGAAATAAATTTGCTTTTTTAGCCTGGCTGAGAAAGGTCACATGAAAGTGGATCTGATGCCCCACGAAAGCTTGTTACTTGCTATACTATTATTATTGTACTTTTCTTTTTCAGAATTTAGTCCTTTATAATTTTTTTTAAGTTATTTGTGTTTGATTTACTTATATTATTATTATTTTATTTTATTATATTATAAATTATAATTATGTGGCTGGCTTGGGCTTGGGCTACCATTTAAGAAACCTGAATAACTCTGGGCTTTTTTAGCTCAGCCCTCCCTCTACCTGCATCAGGTTGCCTTGGGTAGACCAAATCGATAGGTCTAGATTTTATCAATGGCATATGGTGTAAATACTGAACATGTCTGGCTTTCTATGGAGGTAAATTTTAGTGGCTGTGGAATGTGCCCAAGTTGTCTGTGACTTGCTTTCCGCCCAAATATGAGAAGAAAATATTTTTTTTAAAGTTATTTTAAGTCTTTGAAAAACAATATCTTGAGATTGAATTCGAGCCTGAGGTGTGATTAAATGCCTCTATCAACCTTTAATTTTACACTGCAGACTTTTAAGCCTCTTTACATGCTAACAAAGACGTGCATCATTAACTAACGGCATTTTGCCATGTGGGAGGGAGAGGGATGGGAAAAGAATTAAAGGAAGAGGACATAGAGTTAAATACATGGGGATAACGTGAAAATAACATGTTCCTAACCTCTGTTATCGACCATCCAAATGTACCCTAAGTTGTCTATTGCCTTCCAAAGACTTATCTGTACATTAGTTGTTTTTACGTGAATAGCAAAAGAATCAAACAGGTTATACTGTACTAATGGACCTTTTCATTTTCATGTCTCAGATTTGGTGTATGGGAAGCAGCAAAATGGGTCGCACGAGTACGTGATCTTTCAATTTATGATCCAAAGCGGCCAATATTGCTGAATCTGACCTCAGATATAGTGGAGGAAAACCGTTATTTGCAGTCCAAGGAATCAGCATTAGAGGCTGCATTTCTCATTAAGACGATGGAATCTTAGATATCCAAGTAATCGTTTGCTTAATCTCTGAAATACAGTTTGCGTGTGTGAGATGCATGCCTCCATATGGCAATCTAATATAAAAATGAAATTGTACTTTGGTTGAACCAATATCCAGTCAGGAGCTCTACATGGGAAACACTTAGCATTCAATATTCTTTTCCAGCTGGTGCTAGGCTTATAGCCTTCGATCATACTTGGGGCATGTATGATCCTTGGATGATCTTATTACCAAACTGAAACTGTGGTAAAACAATCAACACAATTGACACGATGGCGTTTACTTGCTTTATCATGCACCTATAGGACCATAGTTGCTTTCTGTTTCTTGTAAGGAATTTGAAGTTCATTATAAGAATAACAACAAATTCTCTTAACACATTATTATTTAATAAAGAGTATAATACAATTATGGTCTTAATAGTAATGACACATCTTATGAAGGATTTTTCATATTAGGTATCGTACAGCACCACGATAATATTGTCCCCACGTTTGACGAATTATCCATCAATTAAGTTTCGACAGTTTTCTTATAATCCACTTTAGTAGTGACATTCCGGTACACTCGAAATGTCCCAGAAATCATCCTATCGCTATCCCACACATAGGAGATACGTATTTATCGTCAAGTGAAAAGTTGTAATTTCGATAACGCAACCATTCATCACTGGTAGTGGTGGCACACTCCTGATACAGGAAATAATCAATTAAGAAAATCTTCAAAAGCTTTATTCATAAAAAAAAAGCTTAAAATTTTTTGAGAAGTTACGATTCATTTAAAATATGATTCAAATATGCACAAACTTCTATCTCTATTATTTCTTTCCTTTTAAAAAATTATTTTTCCTTAATCCACTTTTATCACTTAAATCACAACATAATTTCATTCTTCATTATATTTCACAAGTTGCCGTCTCAATACATCAATGATTAAAAAAAAAAAAAACTAACCAAGTGACCAATCTAAATAACTCAAAAGTAGGAGCAATAACTTAGTGAAGAGCTAGTTGAAGTTATCCAAAATCGATGACAGAAAATTGATTTAAACAGAACTTTTTAATGTCATTTTTTAAATTTATTAAAAAAAATTGGCATATAAATGTCTATGTAAAGCTTGTACGTAGAATGTTATTAGCTTTTTGTCATTAATTTTTTCTCTTATAAATATTAACTTTTACGACATTTGTTAGTAGATAAAGCTTTAATTAAAAATTATAGTAAGAATGTATTGGTAAAACTTCTTATATTTTTTTATGATTTTATAATAATTTATTATTTAATTATTAAATTATATATATGTATATGTGCCCGTGCATGCGTTTGATTCGACCATATTTAATAAATTCTTTCACGTATTTTATGAATGATCCCATCTTCAAAAGCCAAATCCAACAATTTGTTTCTTTCCGACGCCAAAGTGGAGTTCAGTGATTTGTCAACTGCCGGATGGTAAACCTGCATCATAAAATCCACTGTAATAGTACCTTTGGTGAAACAAAACTTAGTGGGTGAGTCCCAACTATGATTATTAGCCCTTTTAAAAAGACATATAATTTAGAACAAAAGTCGAGCGAAAAAAAAAAATTGAAAAAGAAGATATTCTTCATTCAACATATATATATATATATCGCGTTGATTGAGGTGCCAAACATTGGTTGCATTATCCTGCCCTTATGGGTAGTAGGGTAACGATATTATTAATTAATTATTAAACAGAATCATTTATTTATGTTATAAATCATTTATTGATTAATTAACTACTTTTTTTACGTCAGATAAACTACTTCAGAAATAATGTATTTAATTATTTGCATCGAAATGTGGACACCGGATTAATTGACAACATAATGTTTGGTGCAAGACTACAGTGCAAATACAACTAGTAGATGAAAAAAAAAAAAAAGTAAAACCCCAGGTTTCAGAACAGTACGAGTGCTGATCAATTTGTCGTTTCTTGTTCTTACACTTTGGGAAAAAAAAAAATAGGACCAATCCTTATCGACAGACTTCATCACCACACTTTCAATTGGTAGAAAAAATTGAAAAATCCAAATGTTAAGGATTGAGGTGTCTGAAAAAAAATCCTGAGGGAATAAAAACAAGAGAAAAAAACAATGATCCTGAGGTATCAATGATTGTTATCTTCGGGGACCAAGGGAAAAGCACATTCATCCACTTTGCCTGATTCCATTCTCACCTCGGTCAAATACTCAAATTCAAGTTACACTAACATTTAGGAACAAATTTATGTCAACAAAGAAAGCACCAATTGGATGTTATCATAAACTATAGCATGAAAATGGACACTACCTTTTTACAAAAATTGGAAATCCTTTCGTATGCAATAGAAGCAAAGTATTTATCAGTAGAAGTTCTACCCATACAATCTTGCTTCAAAGTACACCATGGCTTCCCAATATGCAACAAATCTCTAAAGCCAACTCTATAAGCAGCTCAAAAAACAAAAGAGGAAAATTAAAAATGTAAGCAACAAGAAACATGAATTAACAAATCCACCCCGCTAGCTTTATCTTGGTTTGATGCATAAAAATAGGTTTCTGTCTACCTTAGGAGCTTACAACTGATCACCAATCCATTCTTCATGCAGCTTTTGCTGCTGTCCCTATTGGCAACTTCTCACAAATAATATTTCATCTTCAGTTTCCAAAATTGAATAAAGTCACTGGCGACTTTGCATCTCATGACTCAGATCCTTCTTGGACAGTAGGAAGACCCCCTTCTCTGATAAATGTTGGATTAAGAAACTTTGCCACAAAAGCCCACAATTTATACACATCCTCAAAATTAGTCAGAAAGCCCAGTGAAGCTGTGACAACTTCAAGCCTTACAAAGCTACCTTTCCCATCACGCCGACCGTTCTCCATTGGCCTGCAAAGAGTAGTGTCTTCAAGATTTGGAGCTCCTCGGTGCTGTCTTGAGGTATCAAGAATCTGTATGTGACTAAGGAAACCAATTCCAAGAGAGATTCCTTCTTTTTCAGCCAGCTTTTGAACAATCTCTGGATTGATTAGCCCCCTACTTCTGTCCCTCACATTGAAAGCCACAGCTGCACCTCTTTCATATTTTATTTTCGGGCCATAGATGTGGACAAGATTTGCTCTTTCACCCCCATCAGAAGCAGGTAACTTCAGTTGCAACAACGAGGTAACAAGCCAATTTATCAAAAACCGAAGTCTCAGTGTAGTTTTATTGAGACCGAGCATATTGACATGAGCAATATGTCGACATATTATCTCTGGTTCCCTCCTGCCCCAATCTTGTCCATCACCATATTCTCCATCACTTGTGACCTCTTCATCATCGACGCTGGTTGCAGATATGTCCCCTGGCTCCAGGGTCTGGCTCAAGTACTCTTTACGATTATCTTCCATGCTAAATGACACTCTTCTTCCCCTGCTGTTGGCTTCATTCTCTTCCAAACCAAAAAACCTGCCACCCCCATATCGATTCCCTTCTCTTCTCCCCAACAACCTGAATTCACCTTCAGTTTCCCTTCTTATGGCGCTCTCTTTGACATCAGGACATATTTCAGAGGTAGAACCATTCTCTAAGTTTTGATGCCTAGCAAGAGAAGTTGAATTGTTGAGCCAAGATCCTTGCAGAGCAACAGATCCATTTTTGGCAGCTTCACTGGTTCCAGGTTCTTCCAGGATCTCATTGACATGCAGATGGTCTGACCCGTTACCATTTCTTGAATAATGATTGACTTCCTCAACATGCTCTTCTTCAGGTACCTCTTTGACCCGGTCTAATTCCTGTGACATCAGGACTGCAGCATCAAATGAAAGCACACGGTGGTCTTCATGAGCACCAAGGTTTACCTCTCTGTCATCATACATAGGGCTGCCATACATCTTGGAAGTTGGTTTCGGAGAATGTTGCTTCTGGTTCCTCTTTCCATTGAACCAAAAAGGTGGTAGGGGAGAAGCTATCTTCTGTTTATTAGATTGACCTACATTGTCAGATCCTAATGGACTCTGACCCAAATCAATCCAAAATGAGTTGTCTGAAGACTCATCCTCACTGAAGACAGGACTCTTTATTACCTCTCCAACAGATATACTCTCAGTCTCTTCAAATATAGTGCTAGTCCCATCTCTTTCAGAGCTGTCTTGATCCATTTCAGTCTCAAATACATCTCTGACCTGTGCAGACGTGAATGCACCAGAGAAGGCAGGCAACTGTGATCCTGGACGAGTATCAGAAGTCTTATCACCAGTCCCAGTGATTTCATCGTCTTCAATCCCAACCAATCTATCCAAACCATCCACAGAATCACTCAAATACATTGGAAACTCAGGGGTAATCTTCACCATTCCAGACCCAGTGCTCCCAGACTGATTTTGAAGGCTTGGCATCACGGATTTCTTGATCAGAAGACAACCAAAACCAGTGGGATCATACCCAAAGACCCTGTAAAATGAAGTAATAATAAAATCTGGCCGAAATAGGGACAAGCCCAGCGAATCCATGTCCTTGGGGCCCAACGATCCAGCATCAAGTAAGACATGCCAGTTGTTCTGCTGTGCCAAGGCCATCCACTGGTATGAATACTTGGCCCCAGTTACTCTAGACTGAACTGGGAACACAAAAAGACCAGTGGCCGAATCCTTCTTCCGCTTCTTCTTGTTGGAAATCTGTTTTCTCAAATCAGTGGAGCAGAGTTTGAGGGTTGGCCATTTAAACCATGCACTGTACACTTTGGCACCTTTCTCCCTGGCACTCTGAGCCATCCAAGCAACAGACTGGCTCTCGTGGTCAAACATGGTCAACAACTTTTTGTTTGTATGGAAAGGGTACGATTCAGCCAGCAATTTAAAAGCTGATCCTCTACTAACAGTAAAAACAAGGCCATATTCATTCTCAGGTATATTCAAATAGTCCATAATTCGAGCCTTTATATCATGCTCAACAGTTCCTTTCTCAGCACCACCATAAAGTGCATGGTTACTCAAATTTGCAGTTATCTCAGACAAACTAAACGTAGAAGACTCCCAATAGTGAATTGTCTGAACAAAAGAGAAGAGTCCAAATCCACAGTAATCAAGGCATACCTTAGGTGACAAATGTGAATACTCATCAGACCTCAATTGATCAACCTTATCCGATGACTGGTACTTGGGGTACATAGTGAGGAACTTGGAAAATGCTTCTTCGAGGCTGGGAATTTCCTCCTCAGACTCGTATATTCGCTCGGCTGCAAGCGCCGTGGCCCGAAGGAACTCGCGTTGCGCGTGCAGCCTGGCTAGTGACCGAGATCTCCCAAGGCCCTCATCCTGGTTGCCAACAGAGTCAGGCTCCATGTCTTGAGATTTGGAGAGTGACCCATCTTCAGAAGCTTCTTCAAGAGCTTCCCTGAGCTTGTTCTCTTGCAGCTTTCGGAGCATTGATGGGTTTCTCCTCATGTCAACCATGGAATCATCTTTCCTCCTACCCTTCTTATCCATGATCAGTGCAGCACAGTGAGAAATGGGTTTCCATAGTGAGAGATGCATGATCGCTTCCTCCTCTCCTCACACAAAGCAATCTGAGATGATAACCAAAAAGGAAGCTTTATTGAGACACTTGAAACAACACAAACATGACGTTTAGTTTAGCTCATCAATCTATAACAAATTGAACTTCAACAACTTCCTCACTAAAAAGACAACAAAATCTAACAAGATAAGGAATCTGGAATCTTAAAGACCACACCTCTTGATTTCCCCAACAATCCAATTCATGAAAGAAGATATTTTTCTTTGAGAGCAAAACAAAATAACTCAGCTCACCATTTCAAGCTAAAACCAACAAGGACAAAAAAAGAAAGTTTTTTTAAATCCTCCAGAACCCAGAATAGGTTTCAATATCCAATTTCTCAGAAAAGGAGGCGGGTAACAAATGGGAAAAAAACCCGAGGAGAGAGAAAATCAAAAGCTCAAACCCTAGAACCCAGATCCCAAAATTTGCAAGGTAACTCACAGCAACAAGAAACTCCAGAATTTTATTTTATTTTTGAAGAAATGGGTTTCAAGGAGAATCAAACGACAACTAATAGAATCCCTGAACTGCAATCAGTAGCTATTGACACTCCACAAAACACCTGAATAGCCATCAAAGGTGAAGAAAGACCCTCCTCTCTCTCTCTCTCCCCAGTTCACTGCAGCATAATTAAAGCAAAGCGCCCCACATCAAATTCGCTTTTACCAGGAGAGAAGTAAAACCAAACAAACAGGTATGATATCTTCACTGTACGATTTTCCCCTTAAATTGAAAATAAAAAAAAGGAAAAAAAAAAAAAGAGAAAAGAAAATGGAGAGAAATTTCAATTCAATTGAAGACCTCCCATTTTGCCTTTCTCTCTCTACGATCTTTCTATTTCTCAACTCTAGAAAAACCCTGCTTAACAATTACATCCAGCGAGAAGGGACATTTGACTCTCGCAAAAACCAAATTTGTTAAGATATTAAAATCAATTTTTGATTATTTAAGAATTGAGGTTCCCTTGTCTATGTTGGGTGTGGGACCCACAAGCTGAAGTCATGGCAAAAAGTCAAATAATCAGCTGGCTTGTAAAAGCTGTTATCTGTCCAACTGGGCAATCCACAAAGTCCAAAGTCCAAACCCCCCAATTCCTCTATGGCTTGGATTTGTGACTGTAAATCTCAAACGGAATCACCACCATTACATTAAAAACAATTATCATTTTAAGGTTTTATATACATTCATTAAAAATTTATTGAATGATGAAAATTATAAAAAAAAATTAGAAAATAATTTTAAAATAAATTAAAATGTAAAAATGGGAATTAATTTTAAAATATTCTTCATTCTATTCAATTTTAAAAAAAAATGAAATAATTTTTTCTTTCATATCTCGCTGGAAAGCTTATGATGTATTTAATATTTGACATCGTTTGCTTCACCGTTCATTTTCAAATTTTGATTCTTCTTTGACAAATTACTACAAAAGTTTCAAAGAGTATGAAGAAGGCTCGTTTTTGTGTGATTTTTGCTTTTGTTTTTGGCAAAGGAATTGCTTTAAGTTTCAAATTCAATTTAGTATTGAAATTGGAAAGAATATATTCCGCAGCCCCCTAAAGCTAAAAAGAGAGAAAAATTAAAAAAGCGAATCTTTGATCCAGATGGTTAGAAGCTTATTGTTAGATTCAATATTCTAAACCTTAAGTGATGTAACAATTTGTAAAAAGCTTTAACATAGATAGGCATTACATTCAAACAAATGAACAATGATCAACTAATTAACTTAACCTCCAATAATTACAACGTATTTGAGTTTGGTAGGAAAAGCGTTGATCATTTTTGTTAGATTTTAAAATTAGCAAACTTCATTGTGTCAGTGTCTTGTGCTTGAGGATTTTGTTTATCGAGCCAGATCAACAACATCGATCTCTTTCCTTCATTATTTAATTTTTTGGATGGGACAAACGAGAAATCAGAAATGCAGCCCCAAAAACTGAAAAATAATATTATCAAGTTGATTGAGTATTGCTCTATTTTAATTTGCACTATGAAACAATTTCATTGTATTGCTTTAATAACTGACATCTGGGTCAACCCTTGCAAGCGGAGGATCAATCAAAACAATAAAATTAACAAATTTTCAAAGACATCCCTGCCTGTGCCTAGTTTACCATCAATCAGTGATAGGCACCTTGTTTATGACGTTTATGTGATGTTAACCGCATATTATTATAATTAGTACTACTATTATTATCATTATTCTAACTAAGTGATCAAGGCATAACTTCTCAGTTTCTTGTCCACCCACGTTTTCGCCATATCCATGCTCCTTCATCAAGGTAGGTAAACGGCAAAGTCACGTTAATGTTGAGTATAACTTGTAAATAATTTGTATGTTTAACAGAAATTAAGGGTTGAGCTGAATCTTTATTTTTATTTTATTTTACAAATTACCAATATCAGAAATTTAAAAGAATTATAGTGGGGTTTACAGTTAAGTTTGCTAACAGTGCAGCACCTAACATACTAAGCATGAGAGTTTAATTTACATATACATGGAACTATTAACTCATGGGATTCCATATGCAGCGTAACGTGGGTACTTATGATGATGAGTCGATTACTTAACGCTAAAGATAGTCAAGGTTTCTCGCTTATTTAATGCAATTGCAGGTTTTCCTTTCTAGAATCATCGCGTTTGGTTTTGTACATCTAAGATACTTAAATACAAGATATAAAAATTAAATTAATATGGTAAGATGTCTGAATATTTAAGATTTTCATATTTAATATGATCTATTAAATGTTTAGACATATTTAATGTGTTTAATTGGTTTCATACGGTAATCTTAAATATTTCATTTTTTTTAAATATAATTTTATTTTGTAAATATAATAATAAATAAATAATCTAGTTATGAATTTTTATATCTTACAAATTTTTTTTTCTATTTTAAAGGGTTAAAAGCCCAAACAAATAAATACAAAATTAGGGACTAATTCTAAGAGTTTAAATACCTAAAGAATCAAAGCAAAGAAAAGAAAAGAGGAAAGATGAGGTTGAATTAATACAAGAAGAAGACAATGAATCATCTAAGCTTAGTTTGACTAAGTGTGAGCATATTGATTGACTTTCCTTATAAGCATGACTAAATCTAACAAAATGAATAAGTTTAACAACATTCCTAATTCTAGCAATTAGGTCATATAAAGGGTGAGCATAATCACATACATTGAAGATAAGTGACAAGGCTTCTCTAGCATCACTCTCTATCCAAATGATGTGGATTTCTTTTTGGACAATAAGCTTCAGCCCTAAGAGAATACTCCACAATTCAGCTACCACATGAGGGCAAAGATCTAATTTCTTGCAGAAATCAAAGATAAAATACCCTTGAGCATTCTTGATTAATCCACCATAAGTAGCAACACCATTTGTTAGGAAAATAGCCCCATCAACATTAAGCTTCCATTGGTAATCAGGGAGAAAAACCCATTTAATTTGAGCCTGATCCTTCACCTGCTTCAAAAAGGACCTAGTTAGGTTACCATGGCAGCCACCAAAAGCTTGAAATTTTTTTTTGAATGAGAACCAAGGATTAGACATAATAGTTATTAAAAATGAAGTTATTTTCTCCTTCCATAGGTGTTATACAACAATTTCAAATAAGCTTTTTCAATTAAAAAATTTACTAAGATTCTCATTTGAAATATTAAGCATTAACCAATTTGAAATGCTTTTCCTAAAGAAAGTAACCCACTGCTCAAGAAAAATAAAAGACTCTCGGACATCCTTAGCATAAACATAGTCCTTAACAACATGAATGAAAATTCTCATCTTCATTACATCTAATACAGAGAGAAGAAGTTAACATACCTTGATTACATCTTTCAACATTAGTGAGCATTTTATTGTGAGCTATATTTAGGCTTGTAGGCTTGTTTAAGGAGAACAAGTGTTAGTTTTTCCCTATCCCAGACCCCATTTCTAGAGAATAAAGCAACATGAGTTTCCTGATCCAAGATAGTAAAGGAAATAGTGCTATATTTAGACAAAAGACCAGCATCATGACAGCAATTATGAGGCCAAAATTTAACATTCATCCCATTCTAATATTCCAATCAGTTCCCTGAGAAATATGCCAAATAAAGGATAAACTACTCCACAAGTGAGAGGCTTTAGAGCCAATCTTAGTCTCAGGATTTTGACCAATAGTAAACTTGTATTTATTACAAAGAACCTCAACCCACAATGCAAAATGGGAAGTTAGGAGCCTCTACCAAAGTTTCATCAAGTAAGCCTTATTCAGAAAGTGCAAGTCTTTTAAAGTTAGACCCCTTCAAATTTAGGTTTACAAATTGTCTTCCAGCCTACAAGGTGACACTTTCTATCTCCTAAAGATCCCCAAATAAAATACCTACAAATTCTATTAATTTCCTGACAAATAGAGGAGGGAATTAATAATGTTTGCATTTCTTAAGTTGGGATGCTCATGAGGTAAGACTGAAAAAGGGTCACTCTACTTGACATGAAGAGGGAATTCATTTTCTAGAAGGAGAGTTTTTTCCTGATTTTATCTAAGAGGTAGGAGTAATGGCTCTTAAGGGGTTTGAGATGATAGATAAGGATACCTAGGTACCTATCAATCTCATTGGTTAGAGGGGTACCTAGATAGTTACTAATAGATTAAGAGATTATATGGTCATTATTAGCTGAAAAAATAAGAAGGATTTATTAATATTAATTTTAAGGCCAGAGGATATACAAAATTCATTTAGCATAGACTTAATGATATTAGTTTAATCAATAGTGGCTTTAGCAACAAGAAGAATATCATCAACAAAAAATAAATAGGAGACTTTAGGGCCTTGCCTACTGAAAGGGAAAAGGAGTTATTCCTTACTATCAATTTTATCATTGATGAGATAAGCTAATCTTTCAATACAAAGGATAAAGATATAAGGGGAAAGATGATTCACTTGCCTAATATGCTTAGAAGGTTTAAAAGGGGATGTCACATTATTATTTTAGTTAATAGTCATAGATGAAGAGAAAATACATTGCTTAATTACTTCAACTAGACTGGAACCTAAGCTAATTTTTTTGTAAGGTATCGATTATAAAGGACCATCTAAGGTTGTCATAAGCTTTCTCATGTTCCAATTTAATTATCATATAACTAGTTCTACTTCTAAGCTTATGAAAAGAATGAGTCAATTCTTATAAGACTAGCACATTGTCAATGCCTTGCCTCCTAAGAACCAAGCTGGTTTGGTTACTAGAAATTAAGTGAGGAAAAGCCTTTCTAATCCTATTTGCAATAAGCTTAGTGATTATCCTATAGCTAACATTACACAAGGAGATTGGTCTAAATTAGTTTATGAATTCATGGTTCTCAATTTTGGGTATTAGGATAATTCTAATGTCATTAACCTCAACTATCTTAGCAGAATTATTAAAAACTTCATTAACAAGTCTTAGCAAAAAAGGAGTAAGACTATTCCATTGATTTTTGAAAAAAAAAAAGAAAGCATGTAAACCATTAGAAACAGAAGATTTAAAGTTTTCAATAGTAAATAAAAAAGTCTTTATCTAATCAATAGATATAATAGCCTTTAACTTATTTATGTCAAAATCTCTTAAAGGAGAGAATGATGTTATTGCATACATGATAAGAAAATTCAGGCAAGGATCATAATACAAATTCCTAAAGTAATTAAGAGTCAAAGTTTTTAGATTTTCAATATTAAACTCTCGCTTATCAGAATCATTTTTAAAGGCTTCAATAATATTTTTTTTTACTAAAGACAATTCTATCCCCTAATTTAAGTCAAGTTGATCTATAGTGATAGTACTAATAAGTTTCTTTAAACTCCAACACCTTTTGATATTTTCGCTAGAAGGAATTCTATAGAGATGAGGATTGTTTTTTTAGATTAATTTTCTAT